TTTGGTGGTAAAACAGCAATAATAGCTGCATGATAAATATCAATCTGTTCATGAAATGGATTTTTAATCATATTTTTTTCAAAGAATTCAATTTGTTGTTCTATTTGACGTTTTGAAAATTTATATCCTTGTGGTGGTTTTCTTATATTCTGAAGATATTTTTCAATAGTCTGATTTGGACGAATATTCGTCCTTGTTGTTGTTGTTGTTGTTGCTGTTGTTGCTCGCATATTTTGATAACGAGCATTATCTTGATTAGCTTGCTCATTTGGCAATGGTACAAATCTCCAATAATCTTCATTTCTATTTAAAAACATTTGTATAGCTGCTGAACATTGCATTGAATGTTGATATAATAACATATTTTCTTTGTGTAATGGCGTTGATTGTTCTTGTGTAAGTTGAATATGTTTAAGATTGTTTTCACCAACTAAAAATTTACGTATAAGATTGTTACCAATAAAACGATGACCACGTAATCGAACATCTAATGCAAATTTTGTTTCACTAATAAATTCAAATTGACCACATACACATGTTAGAACATAAATATAATTTTTTGTATGACATGTTGCCGGACAATTTAATATTGATTCATAGCCATTAACAAATCGATGTCTTTCATAACGATTAAATAAGACTGGTGCTTGTTGACGATAATTGATATCATTTGATTGTTGACATAAATTACAATCACCACATCTTGACATTGTATAAAGACAATCAGGTATGTTTAAACAAAATATACCTTCTGTTATTGATCTTGGTTGTGCATCACGAAAGGAACATGTTTTCATATAGAAAAGATCAACATCCATTTGTAAAAAGAATTCAAATAATTGTGGAAATTCTGTATCACTTAAATAGAATTGATCTTCTGAAAATTTCTCAGTTGATAGAATTTGTAGACGAGCACTACGGTATAATTTAAGATAATTTTTTAAAAGTCCATAATTATAATCTAAAATGGCTACATCAACCTTGAAACGTTCAAGTATGGGACCAAAATATGTATAATAATTATTAACCATAAATGATGATACTGACGGATCATAATTTGAAATTGTAAAGAGTGGTTTATATTGACCAGTTTGACGACGTGCCAATTCTTCGGATGATAATTGAGCCATAGGTACATTGGCTAATAATAAATGTATATTAGTAGTATTACCTGTTGTTGGAAATTTAGGTAAAATTGATAAACGTTGTTGATTAAAAAAATGAATTGTACGTGGTATATAATTTGGTTGACAATGAATAGTCGGTGATTTTTTTGGTGTTACTAACTCGATCACTTCAAATCCTTGTGATCTTGTAGTAGTAGTTGTTGTTGTTGCTGTTGTTGTTGTTCGCTGTCTTCGAGCTGATGAACGTATTGGTGTCGATAGTGGTAGAACTGATTGTCGTTCATTTATTTGTATTACATCTGAATGAACATATTGTGCCATTGGTGTAGAAAATTCTGTGTCCATTACAGTATCATTTTTCTCATCAGTCTCTTCGTCTGATACGAATATGATCGATGGACGACGTTGAATATTTCTACGAGACATATTTCAATTGATAATAATTGAGCAGATAATTGAAGAAATAAGAAGAATGAATCTAGAATAAGCAAAAATCATTGATGAGTAATATTCTACTGAATATAAAACACATCAAATAAAATAAAATGTAAAAATAAAAGACAAATAAACAAAACAAGTGATAAAAAGAAAAATTCAGTCAGTAAATCGATTTGCTCGATATGTTATTCCGTATTATGGAAAGATTAAATGGAATAAATTTCACCGGTATCTAAATCTTGATACGTATATTCAAGATAATTCATAGGAAGCATATTTAATTCCGAAATTCAATTGAACTAAATTAGCATATATATATATATATATCTCATTTGCTTCTATATGTCTATATATTTATATTAATAATTGTAGAGCTAACAATGATATAAATGGTACTTACTTGATATATTGTTTGAGTTGAAATGAAGACTAGAAGCAAAAAACATGAGTTTAAATAGGACGAAGAGAGAGAGAACGCCCTTTGGACTGTACAATTCATTTTTTTCAAGTGGGAAAATTCTTGAGCTAACGGGGGTGCTTCTCCACTATAGCATTCCATTTCTTTTGTATATATGCACCCCCCTTTTTTTACCAGAATGTTTTTAAAGAGAAGACGTGAAACAATGTTATAACGTCATTGAAATAACTACATTTTTTCCCCAGTTCCCCCTTATGAGATTCCATTTTTAGCAAACATTGCCCGTAAGACGTGCCCAAATGTAACTACGTAATTTTATGTACCGTATAATAGTCGAAGAGAAAAATTTAGCGTAGGAGAGAGAAAGAGTAGGAAAATGAGAGCAATAAAGAGAGAAGAATTGTGAGTCTATAAAATATATTGTCTTCTTCATTTTCACCAATATTTAACATATTACCGAATAGAATAATCTTTTTTGTTTTGTTACAGCAAACAAAAATTAGAGACATTGTATAATGATTTAAAATGAAACCAGCTAATAGATGATGAATTCATTTGTCTTGTAAATTTCTAGATATCATTTCGATACTAATCATATTATTTATATACGACTGAATAATATAATAATAAACTTCATTTGTCATGATTGATTTCATGGTAAGATAATAATTCTACAAGCTGAACTACAATTAAATAATCATTTATAATTTTGAAATTTTCGTCTTTTGCATAATAAGTCGAGTTCAATTTATCGATCCATTTCTTGCCTCTTTAGAAAATGGTTATGTTCATCAAAAGTATTTGATCTACAATTGAATAAAGAAAATTTCTTATTATCGAATAGAAAAATGGAGAGATGTATAACAAAAGAATAAAAGAAGAAACTTATTTAATATAATTTCAAAAAAACATGCAAAGCAATCTCATTATGTTGATCAGTTTATTTTATTTGTTATGCGATGGATTTTTTGTAATGTTGTCATGGATTCTAAAAACAAAAAGGACAAGATAAAAGATAGGATTAGTAGTTCATTATTGAAATTATTCTTAGTACAAAATAATCTGTTTACTTTTTTCTTGATAAATTGTTTTTGTTTATAAGCATTTAATTTTTGGCTTGTCCATTTTCCATTAATAACATGTCCTAGTTTAGTGATAGCTAAACATTTATGAATGTCATGCATATAGTAATCATAACGCTCATCAAATGTATAAGCAATTGCTCTTGATATGGACCATTGACATGATGATGATTTATAGGGTCGATGACAACATGTACATAATGAACTGTCAATTTCATCATATTTTCGATATTGTTGGCATTGTATATCGTGACGAAATATATTATTATACCATGGTTTAAATATTTTTTGAACATTAATCGACTGAGCTTGACTTACATCACTGGATGCAAATAGACCATACTGTGCATAAGGTACTAACAGATCAAGAAGATTTCCCCATGTTTGAATTATTTTCGAGGAATCAAATATAATAGTAAAGAAATTATGAACTATATGATAATATGATGAATTTCTATCTCTTTCAGTGCAATATTCGATGAGAGCAATTATTGCTTGTGAATCTTGAACTAGTTCAACATGTATAAACATATAATTTGAAAATAGTGAACCAATTTCTGGAACAATTGTAAATATTTTAGTTTTTCTTGCTTCGGTAATCAATTCGTCTAAGACGAATTGTGCTTGTGCTCGATAGATATATAATAAAACACAAGGTTTTATTGGTTTAAATTGTGGTAATTCATTTATATTTCGATTAATGTTATTATTAATCGTTGACATTGTCTTTGATGCTGAAGAAGATTTATTTTGTTGTTTTATTCGAGAGTACATGGTGAAATATAACGAGATAATACCAATAAATATTATTGTGAATAAGAAGTATATTGTTTGTATGGATTTTTCTAATTTTAAGATAACATTTTCGTATTGATTCTCTTTTGATTCACTACATCTGAGAGTATCACAAGTAGTGAGAGATAAATAAAGAATCGATAAAGAAAAACACACATAAGTGTATTGTTGCATTGTTATGTTATTCGAATAGATCTACAATAGAAAGAAAATAAAGAGAAGCAATATTAAAACTAAACTTAGACTAGTAGAATAGGATATATTAAAAAAAAAATAGAAGAAAAAGATAGCATAAATAAATGATATTAAATGACAAAAAAAAATCAAAGAGAAAAAGCTTGTAAAACTGAAGACAAACTGAAAAGTGAATTCTCTCACTTCATATATGCGTATTCGGTAGAGCTAAAAGAGTATTTGATGAAAAACAATGTTTAGTATTAAGTTTGATTTTCAATCCATACGCTTTAAAGTGTGGATCTTGCTCGAGAATGTCAGACCAAAATTTATGGAATTTTTCATTGAATTGACATCTTGAACCCCAATCGAATAAATAGTATAATTGTATTAATCGATGATGCTTGCGTAATTCTTGTTCTTCTTCCATATCATGTTTTAGTTGATCGACCCAACGAAATAATTCCTGACGAAATGAAAGATATGTGAATCGGTTAAGATTCATTGGTTTGTTTGACTTAGAATTAAAATGTGAAAAGAATTGTCTCAAATGATATTCGACAAAATCAAATGAATATCCATTAGCAAGAAAGGTTAATTCAAGATAAAGTCGTTCTTCTTCGAAATCTTCAAATGAACTACAATATTGACCAGCACGTATGAGAGCAGCACGAAACCATTGTCGATGAAATAATCGTGGATGACTATATGTGTAGGATAATAAAAATGGTTGACTTATTGAATCGTGATAAATCTTTGTATATAAACAACCATTTTGATTTTCAATAAATGCATCGAAAAAATGAACATCACTACCAATAAATGTTGTCATTTGAAGATTCGAATCTAGTTCTTGTTGGAGTTCATCGAATATTTTTTGTAATTCTTCGATAGATGAATTCCATGTTAGAAAACCTATATCATTATAACGACCATACAACGCTTCTCGGATACGAACATTTCTAACTAATGATACTTGCCAGTCATGTAAATAAATATTACCTAATAATTCTGTTAATGGTAAATTTAATGGACCACCTTTAATAAATCGATAAGTTTTTCCATTATATGTAAAAAAATTATTTTTTAGAACTAGACTAATTAATTCTACAATAGCTTCACTCGATAATCTTTCATGTCGACCAATAAGAAGTGGATTAACTAAGAATGTATATAATGCATTAAGAAGAGATGTATATGATATCATTGTATATAAATCATGAATTTTAAATGTTGCTAAATGTGTTTTTGGTAGAAAAAGATTTAATTGTTTATAATAATATTGAAGTTTTTGCATAAAATCATCACTATTCAAAAATATAGTTGATTGAGAAATAGGATAAAATAATGATCGAAGAAGTTGATTAAGATATTGTGCTAATCGTTGTATTGGAGAATATTGATAAGATGAAAATCTTGGTTGAACTGACATATGTACACTTTCATTTGTTTCTGGTAAGAAATAAAGATATGGCAATTTCAACTTTAATCTCTTATGAATACTAAATTTGGTTAGTTGATCTTTATTAATTAATTTTCTTTGATATAATTTTTCTAATTGAGAATTGATAGATATGATAATTTCTTGTAATTGTTGTTGTTGTTGTTGTTGTTCTGTATGAGTTTCATCCATAGTTTCAATTAATTCATAACAAGTTGAATTTTCAACATATTCATTCGATTTTTGATTAAATTCATCCAATCAATTCGAATTCAAATAAAAAAACAACAACTTATTCTA